AAAAAAAAAATTAGCAAATAAAAAGAGATCTAAACGCAAAAAGATCACAAAAAGAGAAAATTCCTTCTTTATGGAATTTGCAACTTTTATGGATTCTAAAATTTGTTCAATATTTAGTTGCATAGCCCTTTTTTCAATAACTTCAATACATCTTCTAGGTATTATAGCTACTAGACTTTCAATGAAATTGTAAGGGATCGCTTTCCATTCCCTTTTCAATCTTGTGAAAAGTTCATCCAGACACCAATGGTTTTTTCGTACATCTGCAACCACGCAAACCAAACTCCAAAGCCCGTCTTTTGGTGGAGAGACTCACGTCGAGTTGAACTTCGGTATTAGCTTCTCTTGCTTTGGCGTATTTTGTACAGGCATTTTATTTGGCGGTCTTCTCTTACGGTTGTAGCACGAGGTCTACTTCCTCTGTGTACTGTGTGGATGTTCTCAGTCTAAATAATACGGCAAATCGTTGATTTATGTATGAAATAATTTAACGATATTTCTTTTTGCAAAAGTCCATATCTAAAATCTTCTTTTATTTTTGCTTTAAGGTCCGAACTGTATTTATTGCCTCCCATTTTCAACCGAAAATATTACAAAAGTCACAAAATACGAAAAAATAGGTTCATTCTCGAAACGCGAAAAACTTAAGCAAACTCTTCGCAAAATAAAAAGGTATGAAGTTCCATTAATTATATGGAATGTGATTACCGTTATAACTTGCCTGTTGTTAAGTAGCAAAATAAAAAAGTACTTTTTGTGTTCTTTGTTTTTAAAGACAAAAAAGTGGTAGAAACAAATATTTGCTGTTCATTGCATAACCACACAAATACTGTAATGCGGTGGTGGTGTTATCCCATATTTTGTCGAATAACCGCTTTTGATGGATTTTTGTTTTGTTAGATTTTGACGAAAAACAATCATAATAGCCGAAATATTTTTTTTTCGTTTTTTAAATAAATTTTTAAAACAAAAATTTAATTACAATTTCTTGAATTAAAATTTGTTTCATCGAATGTAATTGAAAAATTGATTGTTATTTTGCAAAAAAGGGCTTCGTTAGGACCTTCTGCGGGAATAAAAGAAGTGATTCGGACGTTCTGCGGGTATATAAGGAAATAGCATTTCATTTTTATATATAAGATGTTGATATTACCGAGTTATAAATAATATTCAAATTATTGTAAGTTGTTTCTATTTAATACCGTTTTTCCTTCTCCTGTGAATTTGTTCAAAGTATTCATTTGTGTTATGAAAAGTAATGATACATTATTTTTATGTTAAAAGCAAGACTTTAAGGGATCGCTCCGAAAAATCACTGATTTTCGCGATTTTATTTTTTAATTTGAAATTAACTAATCTTCCGGTTTTTTCTTACAATTCAAAATAAATCTTAACAAAATAATTTTTTTTATGTTTAATTATTGGGTGTATAATACAGGGTGGGCCATATAAAATTTTAAATTTAAAAAGTCTGAGCTGAGTTTGCAGTAGCTTATCCGATCCACCCAATTTTGGAGTACTTTCTCGATGGTTTCAGGCCTTATGGCAGCTACAGCAGCTTAAATCTCGTACTTTAGATCATGAATTGTTTCTGGATGGTTGGCGTAACATTTATCTTTAACAGCTCCCTACAGAAAATAGTCCAACGGAGTTAAATCGCAGCTTCAGATTTTCGAAGATAGGGCGTAAAAAATTGAGTGTAGCGGTTGCTGTATGGCACGTAGCGCCGTCCTGCTCGAACCAAATGTTGTCCAAGTCTTCCTCTTCAATATTCTTGAAGAAAAATTAGGTTAACATTGCGCGATATCGCTCACCATTGATGGTTCCTTCTTCATTTTCGAAGAAAAATGGGCCGATGATTCCGCACCATACAATGATTCGTGCTGGGTGCATTGACTTCTCAGCGATTACGTGCGGGTTTTCTGTGCCCCAAATGCGACAATTCTGCTTGTTAACGTAACCATCGAGATGGAAATGAGCCTCCTCCGAAAAGATGATTTTTCGGTAAAATTGACCATCCTCGGGTGGGGTTGAAGATTCACCACTTTGAAAA